AGTGCTGCGTCCAACTGCTCTGCGCCAGCACGGTGCTGCTGGAGCTCAGCCACATCACCATGCAGGTCCTCCTGGTCTGGGTGCAGAGCTGCAGTTTGGCCCCATGTCCAGAGCCCCAGCTTGTTAAGGGGGTGTTGAGCACAAATTAACTGCAAATAGGTAACTAAGTTCTAGCTGAATTAGGGGAGGTATATGGATAAAGGCAGCTCAGAGCAGACAGAGGGCTGCTGAAGTGTAAATAAGGGCAGAATTGGGCTCCTGCTGTCTCAGCTACAACTTCCTGCACTTTGGCTCTGAAGTTTATTAAGAACAAGCCAGCTGGGCTTAGCTTCAGGTGTGCCCACTACCTCTTTCTTTTTCCTGTTCTCCTCCTTCTTTCCCTAACCACTCCATTAACCCAGACCTCCCTGCTAACAAAGATGAAGCTGAAAAAACATTGTCAGATTATTCATCATCGTGTTTGTAACGTTACCGTGCCCACTTAATGCCAACAGCAGTGTGATTTCCTGGAGTCTCACTGATGTGCTGATGGCCATAGCTGCTATTAGTATGAATTTACCAATGGTCTCCATTAACTCGTGTTTGACAGTGAGCCAGAAGCTCAGGTGCTCTCCCCTCATGCACAAGATCACTTCTTCCCAAACTTACTCTCTGCTTTGCTCTCTCTGAGTCATTTTCATCCTCAGGGGTTTCTTCTCTGTTTTCTAAGCTGACATTTGGCTTAGACCTGATTGCTCTGCCAAGCAGTAATCACAGAGTCAGGTGGGTTTTGTTCTTTTCTTAATCTAATAAATATTATTAATTTTTCTCTCTCTCTGCAAAAATACAATTAATTTTTTGCTTGAGTCCTTTTAACATCTTTCTTAAGCAGTCAGAAATGTGCTGCAGTAAAATCAGCATTCTGTTTGGTAATTGCCTGGGAGGAAAGGAGAAGCATTTTGGTTCTCAAGAGTTGCATTCACTTGAGAAATTAAATACTTTCGGACTGATTTATTCCCTCCTACAGCCTTTAGCATGACTCACTACAACCCAACAGCAGGTGCCCTCAATTCTGTATTCACAAAGTGGGTATTGTTCTCGTGACTTTGTCCCCTTCTGCTGCTGGATTGGAACCCCCCTCTGGCCCCACATTACACGGATGGGCTGCGCTTTGTCCCCACCCTGGAGGGAGGCTCAGGACTGCTGGGGTGCTGGGAGCAGCATGGTGAGGTGGGTGAGCACCTATAGGGGTTTGCAGGTCTCCTGCTTGGAACCCTGCTCGCCCCACACCAAACTCCTGACCCACCAGAACTCAGTCTCCCCATGCTGGGCAATGGGGAATGAGTGGCAGCCTTGGTGTGTTCAGGATGACACTGTGTCCCTTTTCTCAGTGGTTGGTTGATGAGAGAAGGAAGAATGAGGAAAAAAAAACCCCAAAACAACACACGGTAAAGGCACAGAATGAAAACTGTTGGCTTGGGACACACTGAAATAAAGCACAGTGCTAGGCCTAGCCAAAGCAGGGAGAACCTTGAAAGCCTGGGTTTCTAGTGGGAAGCGTTAGCAAGGCTCTGCAAAGGCTTTCATGTTCAGAGAGGTGAGACATTTCATACATATTCTGCATTTCATAATTAGGTATGACAATACGCTGCAGGCAAGGAGAAGTTTGGAGATTGCTGGATTCCACTCTGGCTCCTTCCTACGGTGACAACGTTTGTTCCCAAACTCAGACTTTTGACATGAAGTTTTGTGCCCATGAGCTCTGCCCCAAAGGGACCATGTGTCATCACACTGAAGAGCTCTCCACAAGCAGACCAATTTCACTGAAACTGGGGACGCTCCTGGGAGGTGGCAGCATTTGAGTAACAGTGTCCAGGGACAGCTTTTGCCCCCATGCACAGAGGGAAGGTGGCAGTGAGTCAGTGTGTTACCTGTAACAGGAGCAGAAGTGTCCTGTTGGACAGCAGCAGGGGAAGCAGCAGCCTCCTCTCCCTCCTCCTAAATGTGCATCTTGAATACCTCCTCCACCACTGTTTCTCTGGCTAAAAATAAGCAAGCAAACATGCTGTAGAGTGTTTCTATGGGTCATTTAAATAGGAAAGTGTCTCCTCCTTTCTGAACACGCCTGTCTCACTTTGAGGTTATACAGACACCACATTTCTCAGAAAACCATTATTAAACTCTTTTATTTTTCTCACAAAATATCACCTTAGAAACAAGCTGCATCCTCAGGAAGCCACATATAATTGCAGCAGTGCAACAGGACACGTCTGGATTCAATTCCATTTGGAACTGTGGGATAAGAAGGAGGAGGTCAGCATCTCCAAGACCCCTC